CATATCATTCCTCAAATATACGCATATCCGTTCCGTCTTCTCTCTCTTGCAGCTAACATGCAAATTATGTTGCAGGGTAACCTCCTCTAGTCATCGTGATGCTAACGTCGCTCGAGTAAAATATATGCTTGCTTTGATATGACAAACCGAGGGTAGTGGGTGCACACGCAAAGTCGCGACAGTTGTTGCAACGTTGGTGTGCACAGTGTTATCGTGGTTGCGATATCGCGTTTACGCGTGCATACCGTTCGTAACAACGAAGACGAATGTGAGTCAAACTTAACGGGGGTGGGGTGTGGGAGTGGGTGGGGTTTTCAGGATAAGATCAACCGAGGAAACTTGAAATTACTTTGGCTAAGCCACTGCTGATTTTCTTTATAGAAATTCTCATAACTTTTTTATTGTATCTTTTTCAAATTTGTTTTATCCTTTTTTTTTGTTAACCTTCCTTCCTCTATATAATTTCTCTGTCTGTTCGTCATAGGTTTTTGTTTTCTTCTTTTCTTCTTCCTTATAACACTTCCACTTTATGTTCGTTATTTTCTTTTTTTATTTTTCGTTGACTTTCCTTGTAATTTTTCATGATCTTTTTTCTTTGGAAACTGTCTTTACGAGCGTAAGTTATATCTTAACACGCTGGAGATCGCGTGGAACTTTTTTTTTTTTTTATAAATTAGACGTAACGCGTGGCGAGTGTAAAGTAAGTAATAGTAGTAGAGTTAGTAGTAGTAGTAGTAGTAGTAGGAGGAGTAGTATAACTCGATATTAAATCAGACTACTCGTCCGCGTATGTTAGTAAATACGGTTTGTCAGTATTATAGTAGTTTATCTCATTTGTTTTTCCCATAGAAAACCAAACTTTCTTTTTATTTCTCTTTTTTTTATTATCGCGTGTTATCTTTATATTCTATAAAAAATATGAAAAAAAAAAAAAATTCATACACGTATGTTCCATATTATCGGTTAAAAGTTTGTTTTACGCGTCAACGTTAATAAAAATAAAGTTAAATTTTGTACTTATACGTATCATCTTAGTTTTACTATAAAATTGAACCGTACCTCGCGTTGTCATCTCATTGCATTTTGTTTTCTTCGTTATCTCGTTAACAATGCGATCCGAGATATTAATATTAAACACGTTAGAGACAGAAAATTGGAACTTGTTTTATCGAAGAGAAAAATTTGTCTGTTAGATTATTTTCATTATTTCGTTTATTTAACTTTTAACTTTTTGTTTCCTTTATTCAACAAAACACTAGGAGTCTAATAGTCGCTAATAAAGGGCAACGGTGAAAAGGAAGAACACTTTGTAGTAAGTAGCAGTTGTAATGGCCGTTGAAAGGAAGTAAGATCTGTCGAATACTATTGCAAAGATAGTAGTCGTGTTAGTATTAGTACGTGGTGCCCCACGAGTAAAGTTTCGACTTGTTGTCGTGCCGAAGGAGTTTAACCGGGGAAGCCTGAAAGTTCTCACGCGGCAAAAGTAGAAACTTAGGTGGGAATGGAGGAGGGTAGAAATGTGCGTCGAAAGGTACAAGGCAAAAGGGTAGAAAGATCCTAGCTGGGTATTATTCTTTGTCCGCGGGATGGAAGTTGGTAAGATTCGGGTCGAGTACATTGGGAGACTTCTTCTTCTTCTTCTTCTTCTTCTTTATTCGGAGAAAGTAAGTTTCCTATGGCTCTGGACGTTTTCCTAAGAAACAAAGGAACCTCGAGGAAAGTAAGAAAAAAGGAAGGAAGGAAGGAAGGAAGGAAGGAAGGTAGGAAGGTAGGTTGGTTGGTTGGTTGGTTGGTTGGTTGGTTGGTTGGTTGGTAGGTAGGTCCAAGTAAGACTAGCATTTTTCCTAAAGAAATCACGGCAACCATTGTTTCTCTATTCTCTTTTATTCCGCGACTTGTTCTTTCTATTTCCTCTTTCCTTGTATTCCTTTTTTCTCTCTCGATTCGGTTAACCAACTGAGAAGGACTTTGCGTTTGGGGTAGTATTTTCGAAATAATAGAGAAAAGTTAAATGGAAAATAGTACTGGATTGTTCTGACGTCTGGTCAGTCGAGACTCCCTTTCTCTCTCTCTCTCTCTTTCATTCTTTTATTTTTTCTCTTTCTGACACACAATGGAGGATAATTAAAGCGTAGTAACGCAAAACCAACGTTTTCTGTTGGCCGATCGTAGAGTGATACTAGAAACACACTTAGTGAACGCAGAAAAATATCGAGATTTTAGGGAAAGAGGGAAAAAGGTTGAGTGTCAGTGGTTACGGTAGCCCTTCATTTTGGTGCAAATGGATTTTTTTATTTTTTTTTTTTTATTTTCTTTTCCTTTCTTTTTTTTCTTTTTTTTTTTTCAAATGGACGTTTTAAAAGTTTACTCCGAGTGGACTATTGTTTGGAACGTCAGCATCCAAGAGAGAAGAGAAAAGAGAGAGGGATAAAAAGAGAGAGAGAGAGAGAGAGAGAGAAAGAAAACAACACAGTGGTCTACCAGTTCGTTGAGGCTTTGATTAACTGGCGTCACGAAGCAAAGGCTTGTACGATTGTTTGCTGCGAACTCGTAGTCGTTCGTTCTCGTTTTCTTCTGATTGCTGCTATGGTTGCCGTTCTCTCATCCTGTTTCCCTCTCTTCTCTTTATCCTCATTTACCTCCAACTTTCTCTCATCTATGTTCTCTTCCGTTCTTCATCTTCCTCCTTCTTCTCCTGAACATTCCCCCTCCCAGCTTTTCAGTTTCCTTCCTTCCTTCCTTTCTTCCTACCTTCCTTCACACAGTACCTGAGACTCGTTTCTCGTTTATCGTACATCTCTCTGGTTGCTGGTAACATCCCAACAGAGAAACCGAGACCAGCTACTTTGGAATTAACTGAACTCGCGAATGCCTACTATTCGTTAAGTCTGAGTACATCCTTCTATCTACCATTCTATTCTCTTCCACTCTATCCACCCTGTATACATACATATATACATACAAACAAACGTACAAACAACTATACGTACAACTACAAGTACATGTCCATCTTTGTATTACTCTTTGAACATTTCTTTTGTCGATCTTTTCATCCCTATACCTATTCCTATTGTATATCTTGAACTTTCTCTAATAAGTGATTGCGATCGTCACACAATACACACTTTTTCACTTTACCTTTAAGATATTGGAAATTGATAAAAGCCATAGAACCAACACTGTCGGGTTACGGAAACGTAATAAGGGAAAAAAAAATAAGTCACGTTTTTATCTATCGCGTAAAGTTATAAAACTTGACTCTCTTCTATCGTTCTCTCTCTCTCTCGTATAAAAATATATAATACGAACTATATTTGTTCATAAATTGTTCTTCTCCTTCCATTGTTTTCTTTTCGATAGCTTCCAGAATTTCATTAGTTTATTTCGAACCAGTAGTATATGTGTGTGTGTGTGTGTGTATGTGTTTTTGTCTTACCACGCGTTGAATTTTATATTGTAGAAAAGTTTGTAAGATACTTTTTTGATCACTTTTCATTTCAGTGGCCATCGATTTTTTTTTCTTTTACGACCTATAAGTGTATTATTTTATACAAACATATACATATGCACATGTATGTCTAGCTTGTTTTGTTTCCTTTTACCTAACCACCATCCTTTTACTTCTCTTCCTTCCTTCCTTCCTTCCTTCCTTCCTTCCTTCCTTCGTTCATTCGTTCGTTACTCCTCGTCGGTGTTTCTTCGCCTCCACTAGCTAGCAACATCGAAATTAATTCCAGACTGTTGCTTCCAACAGACTCCATCGAGGCACGATATAACTTTATACTCAAATGGAGCTCGTTCCATGGAACTCGTATAACCGATTAAATGAACGACATCGTAACGTGATATACTCGATACCTCCTCCTTTCTACTAATCACCGATATGATGATTATTCATCTTTTGTTAATAAACATTTATTAATGTTATCCCATTTATCATTTATTTTTTGAAGAAAAATGAAAATTACATTTACGTACAAACGTCGTGTTTGGCATTTTATCACGTCAATAAACATTAATACGATATTTTTGTAATTATAATATTTTACGTTTTAGGTATATCTGTTAACGTTGCATTTATTTATTCGTTATATTTCGAATAAAAAAATAGATTTTTCCGGTACAATTTTTGTAATCGATTGTGTCAATAATTATTATCGTATAATACATCTCGTTATTAAAATATTTGTCATAAAAATATCTGTTCTTTATTAAGAATTATCATTTTACTTTGCGTATTTTTTTTTTTGATTATGGTGATCGATAAAAAAAATATACAATGTAATTATTTTCTATCATTCGGTTAAGAAAACATTTTGATAAGGTTAAGCTCGTTATAAGAATTCTTGAAGATGCAATAATTCATCGTTTCTCCGAAGATAAATTAGAATCCATAGATACGAGTAAATAGATTCTCTTTGATATCGTTGAGTGCTATGTATTTATCTAAACTCTCTCAAAACCACAGAGTAAATATATTACTACGACCCTTAGATCCAGATTACAGTTTGACTTTGGACGTTTCGCGGTACACTCATTGCGGCTTCTTCCGACCGCAATTCTAAAGTCACACATCGTTCAGAGTGTTTATCGACATATTTTATCTTTATTTAGTATACTATAATTATTTTTATTTACATATACAGTTAATCATATCGCTAATCATTATTCATAAACATATATTGATTAATTGATAAATTTGTTTAAATAATTATTATTAACTCCGTTCTCTCGAAATTAGACGTCACATTCGTATATCTCATTTAATATCACACAAATCTAACAACTAATTTAAAAAATGGAAATATATTATAATTAATTATTTAAATAATTTTATATATAAAATAAAATTGTATTTTTGTTTAGGAAATAGAAAAAACAAACGCTTAAACATATATATATATATATATATGTTAACAATTTAATTTATTTTATAATGTTACTTTAAAAATATTAGAATGTAATAATAAGGTAAATATTTGTCTTTTTTTCTTTTGCAGTACCAAGAGTTGAGATAGTTGACGAGCATGGGGCGACCACCGGCGATAAATTCTATAAAGCAGGTAGTACGATAGAGCTGAAGTGTGTCGTTAGCAATATACCTCAACCAACTGGATACGTAACATGGCGGCATGGAACTCGTACACTGAATTACGATACCACCCGTGGAGGAATCAGGTATGTTGAAATCTACGTTTCCAAGGAGTTACTCTCAGAAACGTTCTCGTCTTCGTTCTGTGTCTTCATTGTTAGTTACAGCTTTGGAAATTTACCTACCCTACATTGGGTGGGATGCCACGAATTGAAACGATTAAATTGTCCTTGGTAACACGAGAATCGGATAATGTTGTTCGATCTTAAATACGATTGAATTTCAAGAAATTTATTCCACCGTTCGATGAGATCCTTTTATTTCGAAGATATTTCTCGTTTTTTATTTTTTCTTTTTTTTTACGTATAATAAAGTTTAGAAATTTATTCGAGGATAAAAAGTCTTAATCGTGTCAGTGGGTAAAGAGAAAAAAAAAAAAGACTACTTTGCAGCTGAGGTATAAATTAAAACGTTAAATATATGTATATTCATATACACTCTTTCTATCTATTTTGTATGTAGATATATACAATATATATATATATATATATATCAGAACGTTAGAAAGCACGTTTTTGTAGTCTCCCTTTTCGCAGTTTTAACGGCGTTGTACTTCCTTCTAATTAGAATCGACGACCGCACGTAATATCTAACCACAAGGGAAGCTCAGATACGGTTTGCGGGCACTCCAGTAATTTTCTTCCTTTTCCCCATCGACCGACGGCAGCCGATAGTTTATGCAAGCTGCATGGGAATTCTAATTGCTTCGATAAAGAATGGAGCGTTCGGTGAATTTTGAAAGGCTTTCATTAAAGTTGTCCGTTGGTTTGGGGGTGCTCGTGCCAGGAGGGTTGGTTCTTCTATCCTCTTCAAACCCGTTCACCCCCTTTTGCCCCTATCCCATCACTCTAGCCGTTCCCCCTCGCCATACCTCCCTTCGTCACCCCTTCCAAGTCATCCCAAGCTCGCTCGACCGTGTGTGTCCTAATTGGTTATAGATATGGCGGAATTCATGAATTTCAAACGAGCTCTGCGGCCTGCATTCATCCGTCAGTCCCATTCGTTAGCCACCCGTTCGACCTTTCAATCGGCGATTCATCGATAAATCAATTTCAATTTCTCAGATACGGACGCAAGCGTAAATACGCGCTAGCACGAAACTCAGCCACGTTTTACGGTCAGTTTCCAATGGCTTTTATATGTATGCGTGTATCTATGTATATACGTTACCCACGAATAACGTTCCGTCGATCCGTGGTTTTCGTCGATGACGCCTTTCGTTCATCCGAATTCCCTTTATCGAGTCGTTTATCCGACTATATCTCTTTTTTCTCTTATTTCTTTTTCTTTTTTTTCCCTCCTCTATCTAACTCCCCCCCCCTTTCAATTTTTCTATTTCTTTTTTTTTTCGGTAATTTTCTTCTCATCCGCGAGACGCGTACAATTTATTTTATCACTCGCGCGTGCGTATAATTAATATTTATTTCTTTTTGTTTGTTTAGTAATTCGTATAACGTTTGTTTCTTGTATTTTTCCTTTTTTTTTTTATAATAAATAATTAAGAATTTTTTTTGAGAAATTATCGTATTTGAGTATTAAGAATGATTGACCATTCGTAGTAAGCTCGTAGAATTTTCTATTCTCTTTTTTTTTCTTTTTCTTTTTTTTTTTTACTTTTTTCAATGAAAAAATAGATAGAAAGGTTGGCGATAGAGAAAATGAAGATAGGATATTAGTTATCACTGATAACAGGTATTATCCTTTACTCTCTTCACCGGATTCTCGTTAACTCACCGTTGAATTCATTTTATTTTATCCTTTCGCGCTACACTTTGTGACTACCCGTAAAAAAAGGGCCCACACGACCGTGAGAGTGTGAGAAAAAGAGAACGTATTAACATTTTTTTTGCTTTGTTTAATCCAATTTTGTCGTGCGCGCGCTGAAATTTTTGCATCTATATCGCAATTTCCCACGTTTGCTCTCTATTTCCTACTTTTTTTTTTTTTTCCCTTCTCACTCTCCCTTTCGTTCTGGCAATTCTTTACATGATTCCGAGAAGGGTGGAACAGCATGCACCGTGTCCAATTTCAGTTTCATCAGTGCGACACGAAACCGGTTTGCTTTGTGTCGACGGGTATACGCTCTTTGATTTTGCGAAAGACCAAATGTTGTGCATGAAGTCTACCGAGAGCGTTCGTTAACGAATGCGTTTCGATTTTCCCCTTTTTTTCTGCACTATTCACCGGCATACACCGCCACCGCGTTTCCGTTCGATACTTCCTTTCTTTTTTTCTTTATCTTTTTTTAACTCTTCTTTTAGAATCGAAATTTACACCAGACCGAAGATTCCTCTTCTATTCATGGGATATTATTGTCGAGTAGGACGATATACACCCCACCTTGCGCGATATTTGTTCCATTTAATTCTTTTTTTTTTTTATCTATCACACCATTTTTTTTTTTCTCACCTCAATATACGTATTTTCTTTTGCTGCATAATTTATTTCGGCTCGTAATTGAAAATTATTTTCTAAATTATTTTATACAAAATCTTTCCTTCTATAGAAAGAGAGAGATAGATTTTTTATTATTTTATAATTTATACTCATAAAATTTTACATTTTTTCCCTCTTTTTTCTTTTTTCTTTTATTCTTTTCTACAGTAAAAAATTCAGTTTTGGATTATAAACGAACATGGTATAATACTAACCAAACGTATATAACATACTCGCGTTTTCTACGATATAATCGACCTCAAAGAAGGTTACCTTTTTTATCCTTCTTTTTCCTTTTTTTTTCACATAGCAGTCTTGAATAAAACATTCTATTGGTCGAATAAATTCGATAATCGTCAATAACACACACACACACACACACACACAGATATATACGCGTACACACTGATACACACATATTTACACGCGACTGAGCAATATATTCGAATGGAAGGGGGAAAAGGAAACACGGGAAAAGATGCTATTAGCGTTGGTAGAAAACTAGAAATTCAATGGGAATGGGAAGTTTCGTCGATAATATTCATGGTGCATCGATGTTGGCGATGAACCATGAAAGGAGGAACGCTGTTATTTACCGTGGACATTCTATTACGGTTTGATTGCATCCGAGAAGCATCTATAACGTACCGTTGCCGCGGTCGTCCAAACACGTTTGTGCACACATACACGTATACATACACAAACGCCATTCTTATTAACATAGTGACGATTCACACACATATACACACACGCACTATGCAGAGGATTCAACACCTGAAGGTGATGTCTTCCGGTTATTGAAGCTTCTCTATCTCTATCTCTCTCTCTCTTCTCTCTTAACCAGTAAATGAGAGTGAATATAAAAGAGAGAGAGAGAGAGAGAGAGAGAGAGAGAGAGAGAGAGAGAGAGAGAGTAAGGGATAGTGAGATAGCGAGAACCTGTTTAGATTTTAGACGAGAAAGTTTAGTCCCCCGTCAGTTCCAGGTGTTTCCAATTTAGTTGGTATATGTAAAATATTATATAATCTATCGACCACATGTTCAAATAATTAATCCTCCTGTTAGTAGCTACGTTCAACATTCCAATTTCATTGACTTTTTCCTATTAATGTTCATTAGCAAATAGTCTCGATGAACATGGAATATGTGCCATTATTATTCGTGATAGATGGTAGTTAAAGTTTATAGAGGATACGTGTATAATTCATAGAAAAATGAATAATAATTAAAAATAGAATATAGTGAATATTTTATATTTAATACCAATCATTATATTCTCGATATATTTAATATTCAACGATTTATTATTTAATTATTATATGTATCATCGAGAAGAGAGATAATTTATTCACGTTAATTTTGTTTATCTAAGGTATTGTTAGTTTAAAGAAAAATGATCAGTGAACAATGACATCAAAGAGAGATTAATTAAATTAATCGGTAATTAGGAAAACAAATCTCAATACTGTATATGCTTTGATCATTGAACTGTTTGATCATTGAATTAGATAATCAAGCATGTAAACATAAATATAACGAAAAATTAGTCTTGCGAGGTGAAAAATGACTGAAAAAAATTCATAGGTAAAATAGAAAGATTGGTAGAGTTGTGAGAAATCGTTAAATTGGATGATTTTTATTTAGATACCAAATGAAATTTATTTCGTTTAATAAATCGCTCGTATTTGTGATCTCTCTCTCTATCTCTTTCATTCCTTCTTCCTTCCCCATATTTCTCTTTCTTTAGATTATATGCGGGTAAGCGTAATAACCGGCACGTAGATTCAGAATGTGTAAGATTGGAGGGAGAGTATATTGGGGAACTAGATCGACGAAGTTAGTTAGGTGCATAACATTATTATAGATTGAAGCGTAGACCGCATTACACTTCGGTGTCTCTACCCCACGTATCCCTAGCCTTTCGTCTATTACTCTTCACCTTGGGTCCTCTGCAAGTTGGTCAAGTCGTGAGTGCAAGCCCCAAGCATATATGGTTACTATGATGGCAGACTTAATCTAATAAGGAAAGTACCTACTTTCTGACTCTAACATCGTCCAACTTCCTAAGTTATCGCCAGTACCCGCATTATTATTTTAACTTGATTTAAATTATTCGATAAAAGATTTATCATTTTCATTTTCATTACATTTTTTTTTTTTTTTTATTGGAAGGAGGGAGAGAGAGAGAGAGAGGGTGAAGGATAAAATTACACGGAAGAAAATCACGCTTAATAATTTTACTTTAGTGTATTTTAAACTTAATAAATAATAATAATATGTAAATATTAAACTATATGTTCTTTAAAGTAACATTTTCTTTAATGTATTTTTTTTTAATAATGCGTATATATAATATATAATTTGCATTTTCCAGCAAAGATTTTCGAATGATATTTTTTCTTATCAAATCTTACCGTTTATTTCTGAATTGTTTTTCTCCAAACTGTCAATCTTTCCACTCTTACGTATTTTTGAAAAGGTTCGATCCCCATCCACCTTTGGCTTAGGATCGTCTTACAAAGAAAAACCATTTGGAACGGTTTGTTTGTCATCTAGCTGAACGGGCCTGGTTTCGTTCATGGTCGTCAAA